TTAATTCGAATCGTATGTAAAACTACTTATTAATTTGAATGTTCCATAGCATTAACTGTTTTTATTCTTCTCACTTTTACACACATTCCTTTATAAGGTTTTGGATATTTTTTTCATAATTAAATGAATAAATTACGATAATAGTTCGCTAAAAGGTGAAAAGTTTCTTTTCATATAATAAATATGCGAATTTATAATTCCGATCCGCAGGCCAAAGAAAACACGTGTTTTGTAATGTTCAATTATAATAGTTATATCATCTTCCTTTCTTTACGGCTTGTTCCAATGACAACATTTTAAAACATTTAATCTATTAAAATAGTTGATTGAGATGTGCATATTTTTCTACGAAGCATCCATACAAATCTCGTTCTTTCTTCTTTTCCTTTTTTGCAAAAAGTTTAAAAGAGCGACGGGCATTGTTAGTGAATAAAGAAAGTCATATTTTATAAAGTAAAGAAGTAGAACATCAATTCTAAATGTATGTAAGTCTGATGCTTGTAGAAAATAAGACTTTAATTTGTCCCACTAAATTTTACCCCTTTATTTTTTTACCTAATTCTGATAGCATGTTTATTATATTTTCTCTCAAAAAGTCAATAATTGATCAAAGTGGTAAAATTGTATAATAACGCATTGACTAGCATCATACTTTTGAAGTGACGTCCGTTTCAAAATGGCGGCGCTCATACGAACGCCAATTATGTTTCGCATTACAATGAGCATGCAATCAAATGTTTTAGTAATAGTAATAAGGTTTTGATGATCTTTATTTACTTACTGATCAACGGGAACCGGGACCGGGAACGCTATTAGGCCTATAACTTTAACCACCAAATCATTCTTCTTTAAAAGATATGAGCCGTGTCATGACATAACCAACATAATGGGTTTGCGACCAGCATGGATCCAGACCAGCCTGCGCCTCCGCGCAGTCTGATCAGGATCCATGCTGTTCGCTATCAGTTTCTCTACTTGTAATAGAGTTGGTAAGCGAACAGCATGGATCCTGATCAGACTGCGCGGATGCGCAGGCTGGTCTGGATCCATGCTGGTCGCAAACCCATTATGTTGGTTATGTCATGACACGGCTCATATCTTTTAAAGAAGAATGATTTGCTGGTCGCAAACCCACTATGTTGGTTTTGTCGTGACGCGGCTCATATAAATTCATAGAAATAATCCGGATCCTTGTTGATGAGGTTCTAAAGTAGTGAGCATGGAATTAGATAGAAATTGGCAATAGGGGAATCTTCCGTTTGTAAATTTGTCGTGACATTTGAAACATCTAAAGTATTTCACTTAATCTGGGTAGAAGTAACTAAGTGCAATTTTACTTGATATTCCTGGTTTCGTATCATTTGTCAGTTTTGCACCACGGAACGTAACTAAATTTTGCATGTAGTAGATCCAACTATATAAAATTATCACGAAACTACCTCGAGAACCTCATGTACGTTCATCTTCAAATGAATAGTACTTCGACAATGGCTACAGTGATTCGCCATAGAGAAATAAAAAAACTGCCTTTACAAGAAAACTAGAAAATAAAAAAAATGTATTTCAAGAGTTCGTTTTTAGTTTACTAACATGTTTTTTAACCATTCAGCCTGGTTTTGTTATTTCATACCAGGCAAAAGTTCATTTCCATTTAGGATGGGACAGACTAGTTGCCGCGTCTGGTGTCTTTGATTGAAATTTCCTTTCATAGCGCAGACATGGACTTTTATATAATAAAATGATTGATTCAGTTAACTGTTAATACGGTAAATGAAATTGTGGTTTACCACAATGAACAATTTAAATTAAACCTGTACTACTAAATAATTCAAAATATTGTAATTTTCAATGTTTATAACACTATTCGTCTGCTTAATTTAGCGCGATGAAAGTAGTCCTCCCATAGTATTTTATAAAATGTGACATTTTTCAAATGGTTTGACATCCATGTTTACAAGTTAAATGTGTAAATGATACGCCTAATCAAAAGATCAAACATTCTCGGTACCTCGCTCCCTATTGGTCTTTTCATCTTATAAATTCCAGTTGAAAAACTTTCTCTTTATTTACCCTCTTCATGGAGCTAGAACTTCAAAAGAAAGTAACTGTTGTTTTTTAAACATCCCATTCAAAGAGGTACTGAAATATCACATAAAAAGTGTAAATATTTGTTTTATTTATTAATAGTGTGTATTTTCTAACTAAGGCTTAACCTCATGTTTTCCTTCGTTAAAACCCTTAAGGTCTGCCTTTAAACGTTTATAGAAGTAAATAGTTGACAAGTGTCCATCTAGCATAGAAAGTGAATCATTATTATACCCTAGGCCCTGGATAAACCGCAGCATGTCCATATTTAATTATCATGAAATAAGCTTTAAATGTTGATATTTAAACGCTTACTTTCATTTTTCCATTTCATATGAATTACAACTTTTATATCTTTCCAAAATACGTTGTAATATACGTAATTTCTGGAAATTCAAAAACTGTAATTCAATTCGATGTAACATTTATACTTTAATATGCAATGGTTTTATTTGATCTTACATACTATATCCTATAGATGATTGAAATCATTATAAGATTCCACGTCTATTATTCAACGTGTCAGTTTATTTTACTTTCAAACTTTACTGTTCATTACAACACACAGATCGACCTCAAATAAATAAAGGAAATTTTTGTTGCAATTTTTTCACATCTCAATGATTAAATATTAAAACGATTGAAAAATTAAGTGAACATACAAATACTAATAGAAATATATTGAGTTTCAACTCTGTATTTATTATTGTGACACTGCCATTGTGTATAGTAAAATGGGGCATGCTTTTTCGGTTATTTGAGAGGTTACTGACAACAGAGACATTCTTGTATGTTGAATGGTGCATACTTAAACACGCCATACCTTACTCATCATTTTAAAACGACCGACGATATCTTTGTTCCCTCATTTTAATAGAAATCGCAAAATTGTCAAAGTCTGGACCCACCCACCTCGTGTAACATGTCATTAAACAAGTGTAACTAGTATGTATATATAATTGTCTTATTACTTGCAGTGATTGTTTGTTCAATTTACTTAATAAGAACGCACAATTTACATTTCAATAAAATGTGAAACATGCTGAAAAAAAATAGAAATAGAGGTCCATTCTAAAAATAAAAAATACTGTAATAGTAATTTTAACATGTTTGAAGGCAGTAAAATGAAAGAATCAAATGCATACCTATAATGCATTTGTTGTATCTACAGAAAGGTATTTCCCGGACGCCATTTTTCCTCACCATTTTAAATGATAAAAAATATACGCATTAAATGTTTTTGTTGCTTTATTTGGTTAAAGTTTTGCAGGATTCTGAAAAAAGTTTGGCTGGATACGGAATCATTTAATCCACACTGTCTGTAATCTGTGTTAACAGGCATGTAAGGTTTTAGATCAACAAGAAACCTCGTATATTTTTCACCGACTTAAGAAATTGTCAAGCATGTTTAGTAGTAAAACAGTCCCATCTGCAACAAACAGCATAGACAAGTGACATTTACATGGATTTTATCGTTACACCGTCTGACATAAACATTAATATGTATATGTTTATTTTTCACATGGTTTGGTTTAAAAATGAAGCAAATACTTGTTGTTTTTTATATTCTCGCTAAAGTCACTAAATACATAAATTAACTAACTTGACGCGTTTAACTTAAAATGACTTAGTAATTAAAAAAAGACACAAATGTGCGAATCATTTTAAAATATGTGTTTTAACAGTAAATTTTATTCTTGTTTTCTAACGAAGTTGTTTCATCATCTTTATCAAATACAAACATTATTTTGTATACGTCGCAAACATATATATAACTCTGTCAAATCAAACGTCTTTGTGAAATTAAATTAAAAGTACTCAGTGCTCTTTTTGGGCCATTATTTCCTTTTTCAAGTTAAAGTATTTTTAGATGCACACGACTAGAATGAAAATCATAATTACAACCACAAAAATGTTTGAAAACCCCGAGTCATAAAAGCCACGTTAAGGAATGTGCATTTCGCTCTGTAGTTATTAAAATGGTTGTTAATCTCTGCATAATTTGCACACTTTAAGGCGCATTGAAAATCGTGGTATATACCAATATTTCCAAAGCAGAGACGTGTAAATGGTGTTTTGTTCAGCACACACTTGTAACGTTTTGGTCATGCATCATGTTAAATCAATTTTGTTGTATACGGTTAACTTAAATCGTAACGTTTAATATATTATACAAGACTTGTTAAAATGGTACGTTGGTTTTGTTTGCGATTGTATATTTCCCACGAATTCACGTAGCCTAAGATCACATTTTGTATTCTTTTGCCACCTACAAGAGTGGACACCACTGTATATCTGACCACTGTTTGTTTTTTATTAATTATTAGTATGATTTTCAGATTATGTTATTGTAAATATTACAATAGGCAACGAATAAATTCAAAGGTTTCATTCGTTAACAGCGAATTTTTTTTAATTGTTGTGCCATGTTTTATAATGTTACAAGAAAACGGTGCTGCTATAAGGTTTATACTTTAATAATTTATGTTTCAGCTACGAATTATATGTAATTTATTGATTGGAAAATGTATTAATTAACTGTAAAATTGCACTTGATTGGTAACTATGCTTTTAAATGACTGTGAACAGTGGTATTGACACATCTTTAATGATACACCGATTGGCTTTTTTTAACATAAATATTCATAAATTGAGATCATTTTACCAGTTCTGAACGGTCCAACACATTTATTTTTTTGTACTCATTTGTACTCATTCATAGTGAACCGTAAAAGTGCTTCTGTATAATTTTTTTTTCTACTTTTTTGCGATTGGTAACGAATTGCGCCATGGAGTTACAATTGACTGCGCTATAGTTTTCAAAAACTTTACTAACGGTAAAATAGTGACATTTTCTATGATATTGTTTACTTACATTGGTAACTAATTGTTCACATATTTTGTTTTGTCTTCAGGTTGTTGCCGCTGCTGTTTATAGTGCTTGTTGGAGTGGGAAGCGCTGCTAATCAGGTACTTTCATCATTTTTTCATTTATTAATTGTTACAACTTTCTATACATGACATTTCCATTTTAATAATTGTTCACAACTGATGACAAAACTGAATTAACTTGATATCAGCTGATATTTGGACGCATCTGTTTTGTGGTCATCTTTACTTCTTTCGTCTTTCAAATTGTCAAATTGTTTTTTTTCTTTAGAAGGCATTTGCGTTTGTCTGTTACTTTTAAAGCTTTTTTGTGCGTTAATATGATATAAATACTTCGTGGTTTGATACCTTGAATTTGTCTGTCATTGAACAAGGGACACATTTGACGTTACTACGCCTTTTTGATATTTTTTTCCTTTCATGACTTTGCGTTCTTTTTCATAGAAAAAAGTAAGATTTCAATAAAGGGCACTATGATTAGCTTTATAAAAAGACACAGTGATCATTTGTAGATATATAACAGACTCGCACCTATCAAGTTCTTTTCCCACCTACTTCATACAATAATTATATAGATATCTATGTTTGATTTAATCAAAAATTCAAATAGTCGAGCCCCCATTCACGCACCAGTCTTTTCATGAAATTATATGTTTGAACTCGGTTTAATTAAATGCGATCCAAATTTGTTTCGATGCGATTTCAACTGTGTCGGAACGATATGAAATTCTTAAAATATTTGCTAAATGCAATAAAGGCATTGTCCCAAATATATTATACTACGGTAATGAATGTTTCATACGAATGTTACCAGTGTTTTTTTTTTCTTTACTTCATGCTTTTTTCCCTATCTTTTTAAATGCAGATTAATTTTTGATAAAATATTGCGATAATTTTCTTTGATATTGTGATACCAATACTAGCCAATCTCAAATGTAATCATAGCATGGTAAATACACATGTACATCTTTTTTTGAGTTTATAATATTGCACGATTGTTTTGGACTACTCAATCAAAACGTTTTGTTTTCAAGGCTGCTGCAGATTTGAGAAATGTTTTCTGATTTAATCAAAGAAAACTACTGTGCAATTTTATATTTAAAAAAAATGTATACATAATACGAATGAAATACGGGTTTTCTAAAGTTAGGTATGATTTACTTGGGTAGCGATGTATCTATTGAATTTTATTGCTTCGTCAAATTTTTACATTTTAAGACATCTGATGGCACTATATTGTGTTCGAATCATCATATCTTACCACGCCTTTCCGAACAACTTAACACTTGTCGATTGTAAATTTTGTTTAAACATAAATATTTATTTCTCGTTTTTTTGCTTTCTTCTTTTCAAAAAAAATCTTCTCACCTAAGTGAATGAACTAATACACTTTATCTTGACTTTGCTCTATTTTATGTCTTATTAACATATTATTATAAGTATGTGGCAGAAATGACAATGGCGTTTAAGGCACCTAGTACATATTTACGCAACGTTGAATGTTCTGGTTTTGTGTTTTATGGTAAAACAGTTTTGTGGTAATCATATATTCGCACTTAAACTTGTCATGTCCATATAAAACACTACCATAATGGAATGTTATTTAAAAACATTAAAAACGCGGCTATCATCGGAAATATGCAAATACCATACGACCGCTAAAGGTCTTGAGCTCTAGGTGTTCATAGTGTAAATAAATTAGTATAATTTTGATGAGACAATTTTGATTCATAATTATAATTGTGCTCAAATTTTAACGAACATCCGTCGTTTCTATTGTTTTAACAAATATAAGTTATGACATAAAGCAAACACAAAATCGAAAAAAAAAGAGATTGTGCCATTTATAAGGAGAATAATTATTACATCTTTATAAAACCGTACAAAAAGCACTCTTTTTTCACTTCCTGATAACATTCGAAAATAATCAAACGTTTTCAAAGTTTACGGGTAAACTATGCAAGTCAGTAGTATATTAAACATTATCTTTGTGTTGTAATTAAATAAGTGTCTCAAAAAGAAATACTTATTTAACCAATTCACAGAGACTTGAGTTATTCTGTGTATTACGGTATGTGGTAACATGCTACACGTTACCATTGCGTGCCCATGTAAAAAAACATATAAATGAATGATATTGTTCTGAGCGTTCCTTGATTATTTATGATTAAACAAGTTAATGTTACGTGTAATAATTGCTTAATGCTTAAGAAAACAAAAGAGAGTAAAACGTTTTTGAGTTGGGACCTTTTGTTTGGTAAGATTGTAGCAATGTGTTAAGCCTTTTAGTATTTCATAGCTTATATGTCTACAGAGCTTGGCTTGCCTTGAAACGAACCATTTACAGCTCCAGACTGGGAGGCATGCCTTGCTCTTAACTGGTGGCATGGACATGACATTTCAACAAAAATGGTGAGCGTTAGAGAGTCAGTATGGCGAACATAAAGAATAAATGTGAGCATAATGTTCTAATGATTGACATGCATTGCGAGCAAGGAATTCAGCAAAATGTATGCAGTACTTTATCAAACTGTTGATTTATATATTAAACTGTATATATAAACTACCAACAAAAGCGACCCGTCATGAAGTTATATAATATAGTATGAAACTTTTAAGAGTGGCTATAAACATATATAAGCGGCTTGATGTAAACGCAAAGATGTTTCTTTTGCATTCATACGTGATTTACGTGAACATTTATAACATTGCATTCTCTTTTTTATGAAATGTGAAAATGTACCCTTTATACAAAATCGACAAAGCGGACACTGCTTTGGGATATTAATTCTGGCGTGCTGATAACAAATATTTTCATGCATCAGCTGTATTAGGTCGAACAAGCAGCTAGAAATATTTTGTTATGGTGACGTTTTTGCGTAAGCAGGGCTTTTCGCAACACCCTTACAGTGTGCTGGTTCCAAAACTACGTTATTCATAAGTTTGAATCGTGCAAGGAACAGTACTGTTTTATATCAAAACTTGTATGTAAATAAAAAAAATCGAGTCTTTTTAAAACAACATATATTTCGTTTTATATCACTATTTGCATTTTCCTTCTAAATAAAATTATTTATAAAAAGCAAGTAAAAGTCTAATTCTGTAGAAGAAATCCTTGCTCGAGTAAAGGACCTCGGACAGTTTTCTTACGATCAGGAAAAAGAAGACATGTGTAACATTTTGAGAGAATGTTTTGAGTGTTTGTAGAGATAAAATTGGCATGCAAGATACAGGTTAAATGGGGAATAAGTTCGTATGAATGTACGCTAAAGTTATGGTCCTTAGTTTGTAACATGAAAGTATTACATTCCAGACATTTGTGAAGTTTCAAGTGAATACATAAAGTAGTTAATGAGAAATAAAACCGTAAATGTAACGCCGATGCCAACTTGAACATTTCTTCGACTAAAATAAATACATAATTATGACCTATAAATATCTGACGTCATAATACTAAAAAAATCTAATTCATTTATATCAAAATGAACATTCAATAATAAAAAATAGAAATAAAAAACTGTGATATTCTGTCATAATTGAATGATCAGGTGAAATGATAATTAATGAGATATATATAAAAACACCAGCACACATCATTACGTAGATATGGTAAATCTTAGTAAGCAATTTAGCTTTATGAATTATAATCCCTAGTTTGTATAAGCTTAGCCTTCTATCTTCATACATAACATACGTAATATGATATTATGATAAAATACAAGACTTGCCATGGTAATATAGTTTTTGCAATATTTTATGAATGCAGTATATGCCTCAGTTGATACACACTTAATAAGCGTAATCTGATTATTAATTGCAAAAAGAAGTTTGTCATGCGCAGTTCAAGGTAAAAAGATTTAACAATTAAGATCCCCATTCACTCGTGGTTAAATAACAACAGTGACTAGTTATATCCAGATGTTCAAACTTTCATTCGAAGGAATTTTTTTTTTTTTCAGTTTTGCACTTCCGTAAAAGCAGACGATATTTTATATATTTACATATATTGCTTTGAAGAACTTCGCCCTTTCAAACCTGCATATGCTGCCAAATTTATGATTGTTTAGACGTTATAGAGACTATTTTTCTAGTTCATGTTCTACGCACTTTAGCCACTATCACGAAATTTCGCTTTGGCACTGTTTTAGCCGGTGCGGGGGGAGGGTGTCATAAGAGAAGTTGCATTTTTCAATGTATCTCTTAGTCATACTCAGTCAAACTAAATTGCGATTTTCACCTAGAAATTGTTGCTCTCATACATTTAAAAGGATATCCCATTATGTCTCTAAATCACACATCTCGCTAATGGCCTCCTTTTGGGTTTTTTTCTTAAAATTGACAGATAAGGGTAGATCACAAGTTGAGTGTATCTATCACGGATATTATATATCTCCCAATACTTTATTGTTTTTAAAGAGGTTATCAATCTATCTAGGTGAATGGTAATTTCTGATTTCAATAAGTATACAGATCATTTATCAAAAAGTTTAATTCCTCACTTTTGTCAGAATGTATTTTAACTGATTTAATGTCATTCGTATCCATAAAAAGAAATTCGATTTCTATTTGTTTAAGAGGTACGTCGTCTTTGGCCCACAAAATATAAGCTGTGAAATCTAAATTAGCAAAGTTTTCAGTTTTAGTGACAATAAAACATATGGTGCCTTGCAAAGTTACCATCATTTACACTTTAAGGAGACACCTCTCAAGTATTTAATAACAGCTATTGATTTCGCCAGGAAGAACAAAGATTAATTTCGATCTAAGCTATAAAACATGTTCCCTGTAAATAAATATTGTGTTAATATACTTCTTTCTGTAAGTGATTTATCATGTTTCATACACGCTTAAGAATATATTACAGGAATAAAATATACACAAGTTATGGCCATGAATTGTCAAAAAAGTAGAACGTCATCGCGCTATTTCTATCAATGCATATTACCTTAAGTAATCAATTTTAAATAATTTCGGAGTTATTTAACAACATCCACAATGAAAGATTTGATTACTTAGTTCTTATATGTACAAATAGTTCGAACTAGCCATTGTACATCGTCATATCCTTTAGCTCGAATTGT